GTGTGCGTGTGTGCGTGTGTGCGTGTTGTGCGTGTGTGCGTGTGTGCGTGTGTGCGTGTGTGTGCGTGTGTGTGTGTGCGTGTGTGTGTGTGTGTGTGTGTGCGTGTGTGCGTGCGTGCGTGCGTGCGTGCGTGCGTGCGTGCGTGTGTGTGTGTGTGTGTGTGTGTGTGTGCGTGCCTTCTCCGATCGTTGTCTTCCACCCTCACCCCCACCGCTGCCCTTTCGGTTCGCAAGGTGTCGACACCGTGTTGGCTGTGGAATGCCAGAGCTCTTTCATCGCTTCGCTCATTCCGCCAGCCCATACTGCTTCGCCGCTTTCGTTTGTCTGGGTGTTGTTGTCAATGCGGTGCGGTAGGGCGGCTGCCATTTTTCGGAGGCGGTGGGTGGCGGGTCAGAGGCCTCGCGGATGTTGGTTGGGCTCTCGCCTCTCAGGGGCCTTTTGGGAGGCAGTTTTGAGGCCTTTGGGGGGCCGTGTTGGGGCCTCTTGGGGCCTCTTGGGGGCCTCTTGGAGCCTCTTGGGGTGCCCCTTTGGGGCCCCTTGGGGCCTCTTGGGGGCCTCCTGGGGGCCTCTTGGGACTGAAGGCTGGACTTTTCGGTTCTTGGTCACCTTCTTGGGCCCCTCTTGGGGCCGTTTTGGGGCTCTCTTGAGCCGTCTTGGGCGCCTCTTGGGCTGTCTTGGGGCCATCTTGGGCCGTCTTGGGGCTGTCTTGGGGTCCTCATGGGCCCTCTTGGACCCTCTTGGGGCGATCTTGGGAGCCCCTTAGGCCATCTTGGAGAGTCGGGAAGCCGAACAAGGAGAAACCCGAACATGTGTCCAAAACCTAAGAACAAATTATGATGTTTGCCTCTTGGGCCCTCTTGGGAGTGCTTTCGGAGGCCGTTGGGGGCGTCTGGAGGCCATGGTGGGCGTCTTGGAGCGATCTTGTGGCATCGTCGGCCGATCTTTCGAGGACCCCAAGGGCTCTTGGACCGTCTGGACGTTCTCTTGAGGAAGTCTTGGGCGCTTCTTGTGCCGTCTGGGGGGCCTCTGGCATCTCGGGCGGACACTTGCCAGGACTTTGGCGGGGTACTTGTCGCGTCGGGGCCCCCAGGGGCCGCCTCGCGCGCGCGAACTTGTTCTATTGTTAATTTGTTACCAGAGATCTTAGCACGCCCCTGGCCCGTTGGGCCGGCGAATTTCCATCCTGCAGATTGCTGGTAGAGGTGGCTCCTCGGATCCGTCCCTCCCATCCCCAGTTCGTACCTCCTATTTTGCCGAGCTCGGCGCCCTGGCGCGCACAGACCAGCAACCTGTCTCACAAGGCGCCTTGCTGACACGGCCAGCGGCCCCAGCACAGATGAGCGCCTGAACGCAGGCTGCTCCAGAAAACGCCCACGCGTGGAGGGGGGGGGGGGCAGATACTCAGGAGGGAAAAACACAGACACAACGAATCGTCGACTCTCCCAGAAAATGTGAAACAAATATGTTAAGGGGGGGGGAAGACGAAAACCCAGAAAGTTTGGGAACATATAAGGAATCCCGTTGTTTGGGTCTACTTCTCTGTGTGTCCCAGGGCCCCTTTTATGAACGCAGGCTGCTCCAAAAAGCGCCCACGCGTGGAGACACGGCCAGGAACGTTGGCTCTTCGCGTGTCGCCCCGCCGGCTCTGGCCCACCGCGCGCTTCGTGCCGGGAGCATTGAGAGACGGGGGTCAATGCACGCCAGCGGGGTGTCAGCCACAGCGCCCGACCCTGCAGGATCCTGCCGGGCCAGGGGCGCACCGGCCCGGGCGTGGGCGCAGGATATCCTGCAGGATCTTGCCGGACCCTTCGCATCGACCCTCCTTGGATTTCGCAGGAGCTTGCAGGATCTTGCAGGGCCTGACTGACCCGGGTCTGGATGGACCCGGGTCAGAAGGACCCCGATTCGTCGCGGCACGCTATTCTGGAGGTCGGAAAGGGGTGTGGCATAAACGGGTATGATGTTAATCGTGGAAACGGCGATGCTATCTGCGAGAAATAACATCGCCAGAGTCCCCTTCACATAAAATTAGCACCGCACCCCTTTATACCATACCCCTTTCCTAGCTCCAGAGCTATCCACGTCCCCGGTCCCCTTGCGTCAGCGTCCCAAGCCCGTGCCAGCCCCCCGCCTCACGGAGCGGAGCGGCATGCTGCCCGCTCGCGGGGCGCAGCGTGTCGCCAGGGCCGCCGCCGCGACGAGCCGAGCAAACGCTCCCGACCACGGGGGGAAAAAGCACCGCTGCCCGCGCCCCCCCACCTTCCCCCCACCTCACTAGAGAAAAAGATACCCATACCTCTACCCTTCTCTCGTTTTCCCCTTGTGGAGCCTCCTGGGAGGGCCTCGTCGCCACCGCTGGATTCGCCGCGAAGTCCTGGCCAGAACGCACCCTGGGAGAGGTCTGGGGAGCAGCGGTATCGCTACCTTTCGGCTTCCCCACCACCGGGCCTCCCCTCGGGGGAAGAGGTGCGGTAGGTTCGCGCCGTGTCGACCGGCGGCGACCCCGCCGCCGTTGTTCAACGTTGAACGCCGCGGGCGACCCAGGATCGGTCGATGTTGAACGACTTCTGACGTTCCGGAAGCGGCCGATCGTTCAGGCTTGAACGATCCCCGCAGTGCCGGGAACCAACGCCGAAATCGCCACGACACGAACGTGCCGCACGGCAGGGTCGCGCCGCGTCGACGCGGGCCGGCGGCCGTTCGAGGCGGAACGGTCCACGCTCGGCGGCGAGCTCCGGGGGGGGAGCGAGAGGGGGCGTGCCTCGCGGAAGGTGCGGGAGGCCTCGGGCCACCCGGCAAGCTTCTCGTGCCTCCCCGAAGGCGCAGACAACTTCTCGGCAGGCCGCAGGGCTTCAGAGAAGTCCCGCCGCCTTCTGACAGTGCCCGCCCCCTCTCTCTCACCGAGCGCGTTCCAGTACTCGCAAGGGTGCCTACTCGCAAAGGTCAGGAGAAAAGCACAGGCCTGCTGCGATGCAGTGTATCGTAAACCCCCCAGCGGCGGATCCAAATCACTTGCGAGTAGTACCGCTTTGCGAGTAGTGGAACGCGCTCGTCTACTCTCGCTCCCCCCCCACCTCAAGGCTCGCCGCCGACACGCGGTTTCAGAAACCGACGCTGGGCCCGTCGCGACGTGAGCCTGCCGCAGCGATTCCGCTGCCCGCGTCCCTCGCCCTCGCCCCCCCCCCCCTCCATCGCGCCACGCAAGCAGCACGGCGGAAGAACTCTGGCGGTTCTCGGCCGTCGGGGGCCCTCGCCGTGCCCCGGGGCCCTCCAGAGACGGCTCCCGAGGAGCAGCCGGCCCTCGGGACGCGTTCCACACCTCCGAGGCGAGGGTCCACTCTCAGAGGAGAAAGAGGTACCCATACCGCTACGGCGGCGGCATTGGAGCAGGAGCGTCTTCTTGGGGCCCAGACCCTGGCGCATTCCGCACTGTTTCAAGACGAGGTGGGTGGCCCACGTTTGGCCGCCCATCGGTCGGTCGCGAGACCCTGGGTTGCTTATCGAAGGCATCCTTCATCTAAAGCCTCCACCGTACCCTCCGCCCGTTGTCCCCTTTCCTGGGCCTTCTGGGAGCCCCACGTCGCCCGAGCTCCTGGTCAGAACTCACCCCGGGAGAGGTCCTCCCTCTCCTCCTCCTCCTCCTCCTCCTCCTCCTCCTCCTCCTCCTCCTCCTCCTCCTCCTCCTCCTCCTCCTCCTCCTCCTCCTCCTCCTCCCCCCACACTTTGCGCAGAAGTCACGGCCTCGGAGTTTTGGGGGCCCTCCATCCTCTCGCCCCTTCCCCTGCTGCTGGTCGTCTGCGCTTTCGGGGGCCCCCTCGTTCGGTAGAAAATCATGGGAGCCTTGTGTACCCTCGTAAGTCTGTCGCTAGTGTTGATTAGCGTCTGGGAGTCGATGAGATAGCGCCGATTCAGCGTCGGTCAATTTGCGTCGATTTA